GGGCCTGCCGTGTCCTGGCGAGCAGGTCTGCGGGCACGCGGCTGCTACGAAGTGCTCCAGATCGCTAATGAAACGGAGGGATAAAAGTCTGTTCCCAGCCCCAAAGGAAGGGGATGGGGCTGCGGCCCCCAAGAAGGGAGAATCCCTCCCTCCCTCTCCCCCGCTCCCCCCACCCCCAGCACTGCCGAAGCGGGCAGCCCATGCACCTGTACACACGAGCGAGACATAGACTTTAAAAACAAAAAAAAGAAAAAAGAAAAATCGTTAAAAGGGAAAACTGGAAAATTTTACTGAACTTTAATAGTTTGGATTTTTTTTTTTTTTTTTACATAGGATTTCATTAACAGCACTGGCATACTGCAGTTCCAACTCGCTTCAGTACCTAAACTACCAGTGACACAAGGGCTATGGTCAAATGATGAGATTTGTTAGGAATATCTGTCTGTTTGATCTGTGCTTAAGGGAGGTCCTGTACAGATGCAGCGGGTCCCAGCCCAGCAGCCAGGCCTCCTTCGCTGCTGAAAACCACGCAGAAGAAATGCAGCAGCTCTTTCGAAGTGGAGGGCAGTGGGGAGAGTTCAGCCATGGCAGCCCTGTGCTGTACCTACCCTCGAAGTGGTACCCAAACCATGCCAGGCCCCACCAGCGGGGAATTCTGAGCGGAACTAAAAGAAAACACCAAAACAAACCACAAAAGCTTCTCTGCCCATATCCCTTTATAGTCCCCAAGATCAGACGAACCAAGGTAGCAGAGATGGAGTTGGCCAACAACCTGCATGGCAGCAGTCATGGGCAGTCAGCCCTGCAGTCAAAGCCCCGATTTAACACCAAGTCTGTGGCAAAAGGCCAGGCTCAGGCAGATGATGTTCTCTTGTTAACAACAAAGAGAACTTGTGTCCATGAGGACCATCTAATTTCACCCCTCACCCTGGGGCTTGGAGGAGGAGGCAAGGCAGAGGGCACATGCTGCCACCTTGCTGCCATCCTCCCACTGAGCAGATGCAGGCTTGTTTATGCTTGGCCCTGCACCTGCAGCCTTGGGGACAGGGAGGCAAGGGAAGTTCCAGCTGGAAGCATTTCCCCTGCCTGCCTGCTCACTCCCAGCCTGGAAGCCTCTGAAGCCTTCGCTGATCTGATGCACCCTCCCTGCACCCTGATCTTCCCACCCTGACTCTTGTCTGTGCCTGGTTGCCACCAGGTTCAGCTCAGCTCTGGGAGGGACAGCGATGGTAGAGGTGGACTAGGAAATATCTGGGCCTGCAGGTGCATTGGGGAGGTGACAAAGGATCTAGAAAAGGACCAGCTACTCAATGCCTTCTTCCCCTCGACCTTTTCTTGCAAGACTGGCCTTCAGCAGTCTCAGACTCCTGAGACCAGTGCGAAAGTCTGCAGCAAGGAAGACTTCCTCTCAGTACACCAGCAGAAAGTTAGGGAACACTTAGGCCAACTGCACACACACAGATTCATGGCACCTGAGGGCATGCACCCACATGTCAGGAGGCAGTTGGCCACTGGCACTGGGAGGCCAGTCTCAATTCTCTTGGATGCACCATGGCAGTCAGAACAAGTTCCCAAGGATGAGGTGAAAGCAAATATCACTGCTATCTTCCAGGAGGGCAGCAGGGATTATCCAGAAAAATACAAGCCTCTCAGCCTTAGCTACATTCCTAGGAAGGAGGTGGAGCAAGTCATCCTCGAAACTGTGATGAACCCTAGGTAAAGCATGAAGGGAACTGTGAGGAGTCAGCATAGATGGAGAAAGGGGAAACTATGCTTGGCCAAGCATAGAGCTCCCCAGACCATGAGTGCACAGAGGTTCTTCATGGTCCTGAGCAGCTGCACTTGGGGCCTCCACCCACACCCTCCACACATGGGCCTAGCAGCTCCCTCCCTTCAGTCCCTGCCTCAGATACACTCTAGCAGCATTGCTCTCCAGCTCAGCTATAACCATGCCTATGCCTAGCCATGGACCCCGCTGATCTTGACTTCCTACCTTGACCTTGGACCTGTCCCAGCACTGTGGATCTGCCCAGTTATCCCAGCATTGTGTCCGACCCTGCTTCTCTCCGGACCTCGTCCACACCCTCACCTGGAGACTGGCTTCCCGCTTTCACCTTGCACCTGCTTACTCACCATGCACTTGCCTGATGCTCTGCCCTCGGCCTTGAACCTGGCCATTATCTCTTGGCCTGTCCTGATTGCCTCATTCAGGAAAGGGCCCTGG